TTCGCGGGCAACGGCCTGGATCCGGCACCAGGGGTTTGACCATCTGAAGCTGACACTGCTGCCCTGGAGCTCAGTGACGCCAGATCCGACAAGTTGCTGCATTGGAGGTTTCCAACAGTCAGGCCTCTACCACGTACTCCCAAGTCTTAAATTCTGACCTTTTTTAGCCTGCAAATCTCAACAGTTCAGGCCAGCCAGCCGCTAGCCTAACAGCATCCATGAGCCCTACACTCTGTCTCTCTGCCTGCCTGTCTATATGTATGTAGGTTGTTGAATGTAAAACTGAATGCAATAGCGAAGTGTCAGACCCTTTGGGTGCCAAGACACACCGCAGCTTGGCAGAACAAATAGTCACATGTAACTCTATCGACGAAGAAGAGACAAATAGAGACAGAGAGCGAGAAAGAGAACGGCATGCATGTAGGAGTACATGTATATATGATATATACAGTTACATCTACACTCCCCACACCAACCCCTCCCTCTTTCCTCTATGAATGAAATCTAACTCTGCTAGCAAAAACACAGAAGAAATAAATCTCTCTTGAGGCCACGGCTCGGCTCTGGGGACTTCCGGACCTTGGCACTGGCAGGCGCTTTTCTTTCTTTTTTTTTCTGGGGGGGGGGGGNNCGGGGGGCTGTTGGTTTGTGGTTTCGTGGTTTTGTTAGCCTAGGGTTGAGGGCTTTGGGGGTTTTGGATTGGGGTTTCGACTGTCGTCGGCGCCATGCCGACGCATCACAGCAAAGTTCGAGCCCAACAGAATACACAGCACACGACCCACCCCGACCATGCAGGCCATGGCAACGCCCAATGAAATCTAACTGCGAACGAATCATCTGAAGTGGCTTACAGGACTGAGAGGCAGTTGGCCTGAACGGGTCTGTGCCACAGGACATGGGACAACAGCTTCTGCTAGATATTCACGGCTCATCCGCCTCAAAGCCGCCAGGCTAGATGTATAGGCCAGGCTTCCGAACCACAGGAAACCACTCCACACGCACGAATACGGCAAGCACAGACGAATACGGCAAGCACAGTGGCCACAAGGTTTCGGGTTTACGGTTCATAAACATTTTGGCGAATGGCGAAGCTATTGGTTTGTCTGGTGGGCCCATAGCAAAGCCCAACAGGAAATTGGGATGAACCCTACTACAGCTTGCTGAAGACTTGTGCGGCCTTGCGGGGTCATGGCATAGTTGGTGATAGCGAGGACT